TCTTCACTGTTTGGGAATAGAGAGAGATGACTGTAAGGAGAGTCAGTGCACCAAAGACACTGACTGCGAGGGGGTTAGGATCCCAACTCCCCACCCAGTCTCTGTGATTTTAAGCAAGTCACACGGCTCCTCCAAGATTTCTGCACCGAACACGTTGTTAATGATAGCTCAGAGTTTTATAAGCACTAAATACGACTGTGTATGAGCTGCAGCCAGTCGTGCGGCCGTAAGAATCAGCACGGCTAGCATGTATTGAGCAGTTGCGCTCCGTCAAGCACCGCGCTATGCTCACAAAGCTGCTAGGTTAACCCCCATAATTACCTTGGGGAGAGAACGCTGTTGTCAACATTTTATTCGTCAGTAAACTCATTTTCAGAGAGATTAAGAAACTTTTCCAACATCAGACAGCTAGTAAGTGTCAGACCAGATTTCAAACCCAACCTGACTAGGCGGCATCGAGCGCCATGTAGATTCCTGTTTTAATGATCTCTCTGTCCACACTACCTACCTGGCAGGTGCTAGAAGGGGTATACTAGTCAGATGTTTTCACTTCTCAGGGGCTTGACCTAGGGCCCAGCAGAGAAGTCTAAGAAGCCTGATGTTGCCCCGGAATAGAGTTTTTTAAATGTACCTTATTGTTTTCGACATCTAAGCTAGCTGCACTGAAACAGAATCTGGCCTTGCAATACTGACAGTCTGAGCTTCGCTTTATTGGCTAGTACACTATCAATTTTTAAACTGTTTGGTTTGCTTAGAAGAATATGTGTTCTGTAAAGAATTGTTGGAAGGACTTCTACAGTTCCATTGGGCTGGTTGTTCTTTAAATCTTCTATACATACCTTTTTAATCACTTCACAGTTGAGGAAGCTGGGTTGAACTATCGGGATCATTGTAGTTCCCATTTCTTCCAGTAATTTCTCCAAACTTTACTTTATATAGCTAAGGGTTATTACATAGTTTCAAGCTATGTGTCTGGTTGTTTTGCCTGCAAGCGTGTTTGTGCACCCATGTGTGCGGTGTCTGTAGAGGCCAGCAAAGCATGTCTGTGACCTTATGTACTTCTTTATAAAACTGTATACTTTTGCCTTATATTTAGTCAGGCCAACAATACTTAACCACTATTTTTCATCCTTTTAGTTTTGAATTTCCACATCATTGCTCTTTTTAATGACATTTATTTTTATTTTACTGTATATTTAAGGAAGGGTCAGAGGTCAACTTTCAGGAGTCCATTCTCTCCTGTCATTCAGTTCCTGGGGATCAAACTCAGGGTGTCAGGGTTGGTGGCAGGCACCTTTACCCTCTGCGCAATCTCACCAGCCCTCAGTACTCTTCAGTATTCCTCTTGCATGTAGTATACGGTCGGATTTTTTTCTGAGGCAGAGTCTCACTGTGTAGGTCTGGTGGCTGGTCTGCAAATCTCTGTAGACCAGGCTGGCCTCAAACTCAGAGAGGTCCGCCTGCCTCTTCCTCCCGAATGCTGGGATTATAGGTGTGCCCCACCTCTGCCCAGCCATGATGAAATCTCATTCCTCCGGTTTGTAAACTCAAGCGCTTTCTTCTCTAAGTTGCTTTTGATACTGATTTTTCATCAGAGCAACAGAAAAGAAACTAATACACAACAGGAAAAAAAATCTATGCTCAGATCTGAAGAATTAATGTCACAAAAATTTCACTTCTTGGGGGCTGGAGAGATGGCTCAGCGGTTAAGAGCATTGCCTGCTCTTCCAAAGGTCCTGAGTTCAATTCCCAGCAACCACATGGTGGCTCACAACCATCTGTAAAGAGGTCTGGTGCCCTCTTCTGGCCTTCAGGCATACACGCGAACAGAATATTGTATACATAATAAATAAATATTTAAAAAAAATTTCACTTCTCCCTAAGTTAAAATATACATTGAACATAACCTATTTTTTAAAATAACAATGGGGGATGTCCTCTTCTAGCTTCTACAGGCACTGCACACATGTGGCTCATGAATATATATGCAGGCAAAGCACCCATGCACACAAAATAAAAATGAAAGAAAAGTAATTGGACTTTCCTGGGCTGGAAAGGGTGATAAAAGAAGGCAATGGTGGAGATGAATATGATCAAGGTGCTGTCTCTGTGTATGAAAGCAATGAAATCCATAGCGCTATATAACTGATATGTGACAAAAATATGGATGGAGAGGTGGTTCAGTGATTAAGAACACTGGCTGCTTTAGTAGAGGATCAGGATTCAGTTCCCAGGACCCACAGGGCTGCTCACAACCACCCATCACTTAGCTCCAGGGGTCTCATGCCCTCTTCTGGACTCCTTGTGCACCTGCATGCAGTGCCCAAAGATACAAATAATAAATCTTTAAATATATAATTGAAAAATCAGAAACAGGATTTATAACTATTTATGGTTTTCTCCCTCATATATTGGAGCTCAAGTCTGTAATGTACACCAGTGGCTTGTATTTTGAATACTTATTCCCCAGTTCATGGTGCTAATAAAGCATCTTAAGATAGGAGCCTGGCTCACCAGAGGTGAGCCGACCAGCCTCTTCTGGCCCAGTTCTCTGCGTCATGCTTGCTGTCGTGTAAACTAATCTATGCCACAAGCTCCCTCCACCACAAACCACGCCCCTAAGGCTCCCGTGCTATAACAAGCTGGCATCCCTTCGAAGCCATAAGCCAAAGTAGTCCTTCCCTTCCTGAAGCTGCTTCAGTAAGCTACTGTGTCTCATCAGTGAAACAGTGACCACAAAACTTGTGAGTATATCTCTTCAAGAAGGTACAGGCTGGATATATAGATATATATAAATATATATAGAGAGAGAGAGAGGAGGGAGCACACAGAAGATTCTTAGAAACCAGACTGTATGTATACAAACCAAGGTGGCATAGCCTCTGCATACTTTAGCCATCTGGTACGACAAGGCTCTTGGGTTACACACCCACACAGCATTTTACTATGATGAATACTGTAGGCAACTGTAATACAACAGTAGGTAGTTATATATCCAGACACAGACAATGTACAGTGAATATGTATATATCATATATATATATATATATCCTACACTATGCCCATTTTGACAAACTGAATTATAATAGATATAATTTAAGTCCATATTTATAAAACTAATCGAGTTCAGTTTTTAAATAAATAAATAATAAAGGTTGATTTGACTCCTGATTCTAGACATGGAAATGTCCAAGTGTGTAGCACTAGCATCTGCTGAGGGCCTGCCTGCTACATTATAGCAAGGTAGAGAGCCTCCATTTTAAAAACAATTTAAGAGTAATAAGATAATAATAAAATAATGCATCACTAATAGATGATTTCATGGCTGTACAGCATAGAGCGTATACATACAAACTAAGATGTTGCAGCCTCTGCACACCTTGGTCATCTGGCACAACCTTTTGCTCTTGGGTTACACACCCACATGGTATGTTACTATAATGATACTGTAGGCAGCCATAATACAACTGTATTTATGTATCTAGACACAATATACACTAAAAATAGAGTCCGACAGCTTTAAATTGAACGCCTGGATAAAGCACTTTCTGTGCCTGGAGTCTGCAGGTCTGGGAATCTCTTCAGAGCATGAGTGATGGAAGCCTGGGGCATGACTGAGCACTGCTGTGCACTGCTGGGCACTGCACAACAGCCACTCTAAATAGGTCAGATCCCAAATCCTGGGCTGGATCCCCAGCACCTCAGAAAGAAATTGACTTCAATCATAAAGTAGCCTTAGCTCATGATAACATTTTTACTTTACAGTCTCCTTAATTTTTAAATTTAGCCTAAAACATAAACATGCCAGTTTGGTTGGCCCATGCATGTAATCACAGCTGGGTAGGCTGAGGCAAAAGGCTTATGAGTTTGAGGCCAGTCTGGGGAAAAGTCCCTACAAAGACATTGTACATATTATACAGCTGTATAAGAATTTGTGAGACAATTCTGTATTCTGTCAATTATGCTTTAAATAAACACTGATTGGCCACTAGCTAGGCAGGATGTATAGGTGGGACAACCAGACAGGAAGTAGAGATGGGGCAATGAGAACAGGAGTATTTTAGGAAGAAGGAAGCTCTTCTTGAGTCCTGCCCAGACCACGGAAGAAGCAAGATGTGATCTACCTTGCTGAAAAAGGTACTGAGCCATGTGGCTAGCATAGATAAAAATAATGGGTTAATATAAGTTATAAGAGCTAATACAAAGCCAGAGCTAATGGGCCAATCAGTTTATAACTTATGAAGACCTCTGTGTGATTTTCTTTGGGACTTGCCAGCTGNCACGGCCGCCCGCCGCAAGGCACAGGCCGCGGCTAAGGAAGGGAGGGCTCGTGCCAAGCCGAACTCGAGCGGGGAAAGGAGAGGTCCTAAAAGCCAAACGTTCGGGCGCCAGATGAAGGCGTAAGTCACGAACAAGGCCACACCAGTTTGGAGTTATGATTAATAGGGTGTTATTTATTTAAAGGGGAAAACTTACAGATCACCGTCCCAGACAACAGCCATCTGCACAACCAGGAAGGGAGTCTAGTCTCCAGCGGAGCAGGAAGTGAAGAGAGCGAGCAGAGGAAATAGCCGCTTTTTTAAAGGGAGAGAGACCACGCCCCAATGGGCTGGTATCACAGCAGCTATTGGTTGGAGGGGCGGAAGGACCTCCCGCAACAATTAGGGACCTCAACACTGTTTTCAAAGCTAGCTGAAGTCTGCAAAATCTGTGAACCCCTTCACCACGGTTTTCTTGTTATTCTCTTTTCCTCCTACCTCCTTTTCATTCTCCTTTTCCTCCACTCTCTTTTCCTCGGTTCTTTTTTCTCTTGTCCTTCCAGTTGCTCATTTCTGCCCCATTTCATTATAATCTCTAAGGACCACTGATGTCCGTGCCTTCTGTCTCTGGCTGAAATGCTGATACATAGCACATGCTCGTGTAATACTCTCTTGTATGAATAAACCAAATTTACCAAGTCAGCCTCCTGTTGACTTTTCCTTTCAATTTGAGTGCTTTTTAAAATGTGGACATAATTTTGCTTAAACAGGATTAGGTTATCTAAATATATTAAAATAAAATAATAAAAATTAGGAGAAAATAATCTCAACCCAAGGGAAACTTTATTAAAACAATATTGGAAATTCAAACTTTTTTATATTAAAACTTTATTGTAAAGAATTTGCAAATAAAAATAATCACACATCAAAATTAGCCAGACCCAAAGTCTATGCATTTTAGCAAATGCCTATGGAGCTGAGACAGGCACTCCGAAGCTGTGCAGCTTCATGTCAGATCTTACACTTTCACTAGCCAATATATTTTTTGCGCTTACCCATCACCAAAATATCCATGGTAGAGTTGAAACTAGAGCAACATTAGCTTTGTATCTGCTTTCAAAACCACAGTGCCCTTTACCTGAGTTCAGTCCTTCCTCAGTCCCTCATAGTTGCCCTTTCTTCTCTCCTTTTACATATTATGTATTTACCCACATGGACATTTGTTTACATATGGGCATATACATATAGTTACATATATATGGATGGATGTAACAGGGTCTATTTGCCAAATAAGCCCATGAAAACTAGGTAACATCTCTCAGCCCAGCCCACCCCATTCCTCTCTCCAGTTACACCTCACTTGATCTTTTTATATCACTTCCAAACCCTCTGTGCCCTGGGGCTCTCCTTCATCTCCATCACACTTTGAGTAACTTCAATAAGCGCCTAAGATAGGGAGACAGTCCTAGAGGTCTGCAAGGCTTCAGCTAATGTGTGTCTGTGCTTTCAGGGCTGTGAGGCCACAGAGCAGCAAAGCCAACACTCACGTGGGAATTCCCGGGGCTGCTGAAAACATGCAAATCCTGATGCCACCTGGCCAAAGCTGCTGTGCCCTAGCCATCCTGCTGGCAATCGTGGACTTCCAACGTGGTGGTGAGTATAGGTCCCGCGACAGAGACAGCCATTAGGGGAGAATCCGGGGCTCAGGGGAAGGAGTTCCCCATGCATGTTTTCTTGTAGGAAAAAGTCTCAACACAAGCGCTGATTTCTCTGTGGAGATTTTCCCTGGTTCTTCCAGGCACACACAGGAATTTATAAGCTCCCTACATAATTTGGTGGCAATTTTCTATTTTGTGGTGATCAATGATAGATAGATAGATAGATAGATAGATAGATAGATAGATAATAGACAGGTGGACAGATGGATAGATAGATGATAGATGGACAGACGGATAGATAGAAAGACAGATAGATGATAGACTGATGGACAGATGGATGGATGGATAGATAGATAGATAGATAGACAGACAGACAGACAGACAGACAAACGGACAGATAGACAGATGATAGACTGATGGACAGATGGATAGATGATAGATAGATAGATGATCGATAGATGGACAGAGAGAGAGAGAGAGAGAGAGAGAGAGAGAGAGATTTAAATGTATCAGGGAAGCAGTACTTTCCTGTCCACTTTACCCACCCCGATGCACTGTGGTGCCAGGGGGAGTTGCAACCTGTGAAAGAAGAGATTTGTGCCCAGCTGGCTGGTGCCTTCCAACCACGGGGTCTGTAAACTTTAAAAGCTTCCTGAGAAACCCTTAAGGATATATTCATATATTTTGCCGAGTGTCTGTCAAGGTATAGGAGAACAAGTGCTTGGAGACATCCCACTGAGGCCATCAAGGCAGTGGTCCCTCACATCCACTTGCTTTTGACCCCGCAGTGCAGGGGTTCAGGCTTTCACAGACATTAACTTGGGGCATCCTCATTCACGTATTCCTCCAAAACCTGTGACCACATGAAGGAGAAGTAAAAACATCTGACCCGTGAACAAAACAATATAATCAGGATATAAGATTTCTGATATCATAAGACCATCTGTCCAAATCTGGCTTTGGAAACCTGTGTAACACAAACACGAGACTGCAAAGGCATGAAGATATACTTTTTAAAAACAGCTGAAGGGCTGCAGAGATGGCTCAGTGGTTAAGAGCACTGGCTGTTCTTGCAGAGGACCTGGTTCAATTCCCAGTACCCACATGGTGGTTCACAACCATCCATAATTCCAGTCCCAGGGGTCCATCACCCTCTTCTAGCCTCCTTGGGCACAAGGCAAGTCCATGGTGTATATAGAAATATGCAGGCAAAAAACTCATATACATAAAATGAACACATCTATTTTTTAAAAAAAATTAATGCAGCTTAAGTAATTTTCTAAGATTTTATTTTTAAAAAGAAAAAAAAAACTGTGCTGGGAAGACAGCTTAATCGGTAAAGTGCTGGCCAAACACAAAAACATGCCAAGGATGGCGGTGGCATGTACTTGTAATCCCAGAACCAGGGAGGTGGAGACAGGAGGATCCTTTGGGCTTACTGACCAGCCAATCTAGCCAGAGACCCTGTCTCAAAAGAGGTGAAGTGTTCTTGAAGATGCCACTGAAACTGTCCTCTGACCTACACACACACACCACAACACACCACACTCACACACACACCACACCACACCACACTCACACCACACCACACTCACACATACATACACACACCACACACATACACACCACACTCACACATACACACACACCGCACACACACACCACACTCACACATACATACACTACACACACCCCACACCACACTCACAATACACATACCACACATACACACCACACTCACACACACACACTACACACACACATACATACACTACACACACCCCACACCACACTCACAATACACACACCACACATACACACCACACATACACACCACACTCACACACACACACACACTCATACATAAAAACAATCCTTTCTCTTTGAGGGCTTTGTCCTTTGAAGAGGGTAGATGGCTCGGTAGGTAAAGCAATAGCGACCGCTTCATCCGTGGCAGGCTTCCACCCAACCTTGCAGCAGGGCCATCACTCTGCTGGAAGCCCTCCTGAAGGTGCAGTGACAGGTAGTACCAGGCACGAGGCACACTAGCCCCATCTGGCAGTTCCTACGCAGACCCAGGTGGTCCATGGTTCCAGCAGCATCCATGCCTTAGCTTTTGCTAGGATGCTGAAAACAGTACAATACCATGTAGCCACCCATGGAGGGATCTTCTGCATACACAACCCCTCAACTCTTGGTGGCCATCATGCCCCTGTCTCTCCTTGCCACTCCCACTCGTCTCGTCTTCTCTTCCCTTCAGACTGCCACTCAGCCCTGCTCCTCCTGGGGTTCCTTTGGACAAGGAAGACACCTACGTTTGCTGCTGTTGCTTCCCCCAACCCTTATTTGGGGGGCCTGTTTGCCCTTGAGGGATTGCCTGGCCACAGCTACATTGGTAGAATCATACCACGAGAGTAGAATTTTTGAGACTTTATTGCTTCTCATCTTTGGCTCGAAAATACGCCTGAGACCCTGTCCTGCTGCACGGCTCTCCTGTCCTACCTTCCTGGAGTTTCGTCTCATGCCCACACCATCTCATTTCCCTCCTTACTTCCTGCAGACCCCAACTAAGGCTTCCCAAGCATTTGAGTGTATGACGTACCACTGATTTCTCTCCCCTAGACAGAAAATATTTCAGATCACTTGTTTGCATTCATACAAGAATGAAATTTCACCCTGTGAACATGTTCACCCCATTGGTATGGGGCCTCCCCCCATCCCATCCACTCTACCACCTCCAGACCCAGGGACTTCATGGCCACTGCCTCCAACCTCTACCAAGTGCCGTTTGCATGTCTTGCCTCTAGCCATGGCTGCTGTTACTGCCTGGAATCTGGACTGCGGTATTCTGCTAATCTTTTAAAATTTATTTTATTTTTATCTATGTTATCTATTATTATTTGGTTTGTTTTTCTTTTTGAGGCAGGGTTTCTCTGTGTAGACCAGGCAGTCCTCGAACTCACAGAGATCCGCCTGCCTCTGCCTTCCGGGTACTGGGACTAAAAGTGTGCACCACTACTGCCTGGCTTGTATTTTGCTGATCTTTACGTTGGGCTGTACCCTTGAGAGCTGAGTTCTGATGGTTTGAATGAGATGTCCCGAATAAGTCTTGGTATTTGGATATTTGGTGCTCAGTTAGTGGCTATTTGGGAAGGATTAAGCTGTATGGCCTTGCTTGGGAGTACATGGGGAAAGATGGGGGGGCATGCTTGGGGTTTCAAAATCCTCTTACCCCTCCCAGTGTGCTCTCTCTTGCTTATGGGTTTAGATGTGAGCTCTCAGCTATTCCTGCTACCATGCCTTCGCTCTGCCATCATGGATTCTAACCCTCCCTGAAAGATTAAAGGGTTTTTTTTTAATAAGTTGCCTTGGTTATAGTGCCTTGTCACAGTCATAGAAAAGTCACTATGGCAGCCCCCCAGCATCATGGAGTAGAAACTTCACATGGATGTATCTGGCCCCTTACGTCTCACCTCCCAGGAAAATTAGAGGAGGAGGGCAATGTGCTTATTGTCCCAGGAACAACTAGAAGTTGTGTTTCCCGTCTGCCAGTGTCACTGTCAGACAAGTGTCACACAAGACACTCTAGTGACAAGGACCAGCTAGGTGTGACTTAAGGAACTCTTCCTGACTTTTCATGGTAACTCCTGCATCCCTGTTTCAGGATGCCTCCAAGTCACCAGCTCAGTATCCCAGCAAGGAGGACAACTGGTCTTCACCTGCACTTTGTGGCACAAGAGAGGTGAAGCCGAGGGGCTAATACTCTTCTGGTGCAAAGACAGGCGGTCCGACTGTTCTCCTGAGACCAGCTTAGAGCAACTAAGGGTGAAAAGGGATCCTGGGACAGATGGTAGCAATGAACTGAAATCTCAGTTGGTATACACCATAGAACAAGCCACACTATCGGACAGTGGGACCTACCAGTGCTGTGCCCGAAGCCAGAAGCCAGAAATCTACATTCATGGTCATTTTGTCTCTGTTCTAGTCACAGGTAAGTCCCTAAGAACCAAATGCAGCCAGAGGAGCAGTGAGCGGGGCTGAAAGTAGGAGTTTCGAGTAGCGAGTTGAGGTCCTAATAGCAGTCCCCTTGAGCATCCTTCCTCCCCTGAGCATCCTTCCTCCCTTGAGCATCCTTCCTCCCTTGAGCATCCTTCCTCCCTTGAGCACCCTTCCTCCCTTGAGCACCCTTCCTCCCTTGAGCACCGTTCCTCCCTTAGGCATCCTTCCTCTCTTGAGCATTGTTCATCCCTTCAGCATCCTTCCTCCCTTGAGCATCCTTCCTCCCTTGAGCATCCTTCCTCCCTTGAGCACCCTTCCTTCCTAGAACATCCTTCCTCCCTTGAGCATCCTTCCTCCCTTGAGCATCCTTCCTTCCTCTTACCCAGTCCTCTGCCAGCACCACGCTGGCTAATATACCTCATGTTAAACCTTTCTTCAAAGTATATGTATGAAGGTATAATCTCATCTTTGTCTTTACTGTTCACCATCTTTATAGAATAGCCCTTTCATTCTCATTAGAAGACTTGAGTCTTCAGGAAGTGCAGGGATTTATTTAATGCCACGCATCAACTGGACTAGTAACCATAGAAGAGAATAGGGATGTTTACGAAAAGGCACTGCCTAGTAATAATAATAATGATAATGATAATAATAATAATCAACCCAGGCCTTTTGATGACTACTCTGTAGTTCTCTCAGTGAAGAGCCTGTATTTCCCAAATACACAGAGATGGGTTTAAAATAAAATCAGTGATTTCCCTAAGAAGCATTTGACTCTAAGAAATGAACCTACTCCAGCTACTGGATTAGAACAGAAAAATAAAGCAGAAAGTGTGGATAGCCCCCACAAGTTCAGTTTTCTAGAATCAGAAGCCAGAAAGCTGAACAGGACCCAAAACAGCCCACCAGGGTCTCAAGCTCACCAAGGCAAGGCTTCTGGCCTCTGCCTCTGCCTTTCATGCCCCATCACCTCCCCAGTGAACCTCACTGTAATGACTCTAGCCAAGCTGTAGAAAGGGCCCATCTGGGTCTAAGCCTTCAGAATCCTGTAGAAAATGCACCTTCTCCCTACAGTTCTATACCCAGCCAAACTACCAATCTATGTGAGACAAGAGACACTGTTTGATGTACAATGGCTTGAAAAAGCTTGCCACCTGTGAACATTTCTCAATGCTGGAGATTGACCCCAGGACCTAGAACATGCTAAGTCAGTACTTTGTCACCGAGCCACATACCAGCCTCATACAATTTTTTTTTTAAGATTTATTTATTGGTTATATACAGCATGTTTTTCCTACACACCAGAAGAGGGCATCAGATCTCATTATAGATGGCTATGAGACACCATGTGGTTGCTGGGAATTGAACTCAGGACCTCTGGAAAAGCAGTCAGTGCTCTTAACCTCTGAGCCACCTCTCCAGCCCCTCATACAATTTTTTTTTTTAAAGAATCCACCAATCCAGCATGGTGGCGCATACATATAATCTCAGCACTCAGGAAAACAAAACTGATAGTAAGTTTTGGGCCTGGACTACATAGCTAGACCATGTCATCAAACACACAAATAAATATTATCTTAGCCCTCCACCCTAAATAAAAAATAAAAATAGTAAATAAAAAATCTGAGAGGCAGGGCCTTTTAATATACATTCCTATTCTCGTCTGTGGTTACTAATCATTCAAATGGTCAACTTCTCTTCAGTTACATCTATGTTACAGACTTTCAGGAGGTTTTGTTGTCCCGTGACAAGATGTTCTCAGCGCTCACTCAGAGGGGCAGTGATAGACGCTCCAACTCTATTCCCACGCCCAAGGTTCTTATTTATTTATTTATTTTGGTTTTTTGAGACAAGGTTTCTCATATTATATAGCTTTGGAACCTGTCCTGGAACTCGCTATGTAGACCAGGCTAGCCTTGAACTCACAGAGGTCCACTGGCTCAGCCCAAATTTTTAACTTATGCTAAATTACTCTATTATAGAAGACTGTTTATAATGAACACAATTGAGGAAACCCAAGTCCAAGGTGAGCTGTTTTCCCTTCCTGGGCCGTGGTGGCAGTGGTGCACGCCTTTAATCCCAGCACTTGGGAGGCAGAGGCAGGCGGATCTCTGTGACCAGCCTGGTCTACAAGAGCTAGTTCCAGGACAGGCTCCAAAACCACAGAGAAACCCTCTCTCGAAAAACCAAAAAAAAAAAAAAAAAAAAAAAAAAAAAAAAAAAAAAAAAGCCTCTAGAGCTCCTCCGAGGTTGACTTGTCTCTGTATCTGCTGAAGGCTAGGTTCTGTATTTATTTGCTCAGTTTAAGCCTATCACCACAGCCCGCAGATATCAAAACTGTTTATTCAGGAAGTGGATTATGCTGCCAGGCATTCTTTGAGATCACATGGGAAAAGCAACAAAAGGAAGCCCTAACCTCTGACCCCCTCTCCTGGTCTGTGATTCTCTTTTGAACCTGGAACAGGGAACCACACTGAGATAAGACAGAGACAAAGGCAGGACCATACTGACAGCACTCCCAGTTCAGACTTCCTGCAAGTGAAGGCCTGCAGGATGCTGGTCACCATCCTGGTGGCTCTTCAAGGTATGTTCAGAAGAGATTTCAGCGCTCCAAGCTATGAGTTTGTACTGCCAGCTTAATTATTTCCTAGGTGGGAAAGTACAGAAAGGAAGGAGGGGAAAACGTGTTCCCCAAGGCCTGGCCATCTACAGTATGTGGGTGAAACCGGCTTAAAGTTACTAAAGTCCTCATACTGTAGCTATGTGGAGACAGACAAATCGGACTTCCCTCTGGGTAAGAGGTTGGGCCTCTTAGGAAAGGCCTGTGGGACACAAGAAACACAGCTGCCCCCACTCAATGAACACAGCAATGCCAGGACAAGCCACAGGTCTCTAGTTATTACACAAAGATGAACAAGGCAGGAGACAGGGTCGGCCTGAGGTGGGGTTTGAACACAGCACCTCCACAAAGATGATGACCGTATTGAGTATTAAAATATTGAGACATTTAATAATTTTCCACTAGGATTTTGCATAACAAATAAATGATATGAGATTTTAACTGTCCTTGGCAGCCAAAAGGGCCAGCTTCTACACAGGGGACATGAGGATGGAGTAGTCTGGTCATTTACTTATACTGAATACAAGTTTCCCTAGTGGGTTAAGCTATATTCTTGTTAATAAATGCTATTTCTTCAGGCACACTTTGAGTACACACTCAAAGGGAAACGGGGTCCATCTTGCACTATCGCCACTACCTGACTCCAGAGTCACCCCAGAACAACAAGGCCTCTGCTCCCAGTGCCCTTTTCTAGTCAAGAACAAAGCCTTACATTCAACTATTTATTTTCTCCTGTACTCAAGGCGCTCTGAAGGTACACAAAAGAAAAACCAAAACTAAATCATATACTACTTATGAGGCTGTGTGAGTGAGACATGGTCTCCCTATGCAGCCCAGACTGGTTTCCTACTCAGTCCTACCCCAGGCGTCGGACCACTGGGATTACAGGTGTGAAGAGCCATGTCCAGCTTTTCCTTCTCTTCCTCTTCCTCCAATCCAAGCCTTAGCAGACAGAGGGAAGAGGCAGCATTCAGCAGAAAAACACACGCGTTTCCGGGGGTCTTAGCGATATTATGGAGACCAAGTTATAATGCTTTTTCTTCCATGTGAGGTTAAAGTGAAGGAGTGTCCTGATCCCTGCGCCTCTCTCTGTGCCTCCCACACAGCCCAGATACTGTGTTCACACATTTTCCCTATTCCCTTTCTAATCACGGAGCCTATCAAACAGCCACCTCAGGACGGGCCTCAAATCAGGTGTTCTGTTTCTCAGTTAGTCTAAGTTGTGAGGTAGTGATACAAACCATTCATTTTCTTTCAACAGCTCTATAAAAAAAAAAAAAAAACAACCTTCAGAAGAAGGTACAGCAAGATAAATCTGACAACGCACACAGGAAGAACGGTACAGGGAACAGATGCCGAGTAGACCAAGAATCTGGAGGGTCAGCAAGATGGCTCAGCCAAGAACAGGAGCTTGCCTGCCAAGCTTCAGCTCAAACCTCTGCAAACACATGGTGGAAGGAGAGAACTGACTCCCCCAAGTTGTCCTCTGACCCCCATGGGAGTGCCATGCTCTGACCCCAATAAATAAAATCATTCCAGGGATCTGGCAGAGCGTTTGGCATACTTCTGGATCTTCTTTCCTTATTGCCAGTGCAAGTTTGCCTACTCCCGCCTCAGTGCCAAGAGAGAAAACATGTTACAAGTGTGATTGGTGTGCTGGCCTTAAATACCAGGTATGTTTTATACCACAGAATAATGGTTCATCTCCCCTGCAACACAGTAAAATAAGTGAGTTCTAATTTTATATGTGTGTGTGACGCATGTATGCGTGCACACTGAACACGTGGAGGTCAGAGAACAACTCCTGGGAGCTGGTTCTCTCTTCCTCTGTAAGGGCTGGAGATCAAACTCAGGTGGCTAGGCTTGTGCAAGTGCTAACAGCTGTCTGTAACTCCAGGCTCTGACACCCTCGCACAGACATACAGGCAGGCAAAGCACCAACACAAATAAAAATAATAAATAAATTAGAAAAGAAAACTGTACTTCTAACTGGGCCATGGTAGCACACGCCTTTAATCCAGCACTTGGGAGGTAGAAGCAGGTGAATCTTGTGAGTTTGAGGTCAGCCTGGTCTACAGAGTGAGTTCCAGGACAGCCAGGGCTACAGAGAGAAACCCTGTCTCAAAACCAAACCAAACAAAAAACAGCTGTACTTCTGATTAGAAAAAATGGCCACCACAAGCCGCAGCCAGGATCTCAGTGAGAAGGAAAAGCTACAACAGATGCTTTGTTTATGTGCACACCATCCAATCTGTCACAAAGAAAATGTAAAAAGAGGGGGAAAAAAAAGATCTCAAACTTGAATGTCTACAGTTCCTCTTGTCTGGGACATCTTCTAGCTCAGTTAAGAGGTCCTGGTACACACCCCTAGTCATGCACACTGTATTCTGATTTCCATTAGAACCCCCTAGGACAGTGTCACCTGTGTACCCAGACAAGGACATTAGTACCAGCCGATATTTCCTCCCGCAGGAATGACACCATTCCATTAACTCCTTCCCAGCTACATTCATAGAACTTTGGAGATTTGCTTTGGAAACTCTTAAGAGCAGTCTCTTAGAGCAACTTTCAAATCTCTGTTAATCCTACAACCCTGAATTCATCATCCTGAATAAATATTTACACATATATTCATATAAGTAATGTATAATGATTCATATATATTCATATAATATATTGTACATACGTATACAATTAGAGTAGTGTACGGGCTGAGGCCCGGCTGGCCCAGTAATGGCTGTCCAACAGAAGGTCCAAGGATCTAGCAGTCTCACAATCTGTTAGGGTGGATGTCTCAGCTTGTCTTCAGTATTTGCTGGGATCCTGAAGAAGTAGGTGTGACGTTTTCACTTGATGGCAAGTGAGACTGAAGCTGCCATCAAGAGCAAGGGCAAGCAGGCAAAGAACAGAAGCTTCCTCCTTCCATGTCCTTTGTAGAGGCTGCCACCAGAAGGTGTGGCCCAGATTAAACGTGGATCTTCCCACATCGAAAGATCCAGATTAAAGACTGGAAGGTTTAATTAAGGCAAATCCCTCACTGGTGTGCTAGTGTGGGTGGTCCTTCTGTCTGTGTTCTTCTTGTCCTCCTCCTCTTTGGTTGGTGTCAATGTTTCCCTTTTGGTAGCTTGCAGAGTACCTTCCCGAACCAAACAGACTCAAACATAGGGATGAAGGTTCCATGTAGGTACCAGCTTGACTTTTTCCATGTTCATGAGTTATGTGGTTATTGTCCTCAGCAATGGGGCCCCTGCTGTCAGTTTTCAGAGAGCAACCCTTTGTCTTAACAACAACGCCTAGCTTGTTTAGGAACTTCCATGGGATCCCCTTGACCAAAAAGTCAATTGAATGCATCCCAGCCCTGCCACTGGGAACCTGGCAACAAGAGATGGCCAGTTGAGACTCCATATCCCACATTGCTAGGAGTCCTCACTAGGATCACCTTCATACATTCCAGGAAGTTTCCACTGTGCTGGGTTTCCACACTACTCCCCAAATGCCCCCCATTCCCAGCCTATCTCTCCATCCTATCTCCCCATCACCTGATCCTACTCCCCCACTCCCATTCCCACCTGCCCCCAGTCCACCAGTAAGATCTATTCTACTTCCTCCTCTCAGAGAGACCGACGTATCCCCCTAGACCACATTCTCTTTATCTAATCTCTCTGGGTGTACAGATTGTAGCTTGGTTACCATTTACATAAAGGCTGATATCCACTTGTAAGTGAATATATACACTAATTAACTTTCTGAGTCTGAGTTACCTCACTTAGGATGATTTTTCTAGGTCTATCCATTTGCCTACAAATTTCATGATGTAAATTAAAATTATAGTTGAGTAATATTGTGCAAATGTACCACATTTTTAAAAATTCATTCTTCTGTTGAGGAACATCTAGGCTGTTTCCAGTTCCTGGCTATTATGAATAAAACCATAATGAATGTGGTGGAGCAAGTATCCTTGTAGTATGGCAGAGCATCCTTTCGGCATATGCCCAAGAGTGGTAGAGCTGGATTTTGAGGTAAATTGATTCCCAACCTAGTCTAAGGAATTGCCATATTGATTTCCATAGTGGCTATACAAGTTTGCACTTCCACCAGCAATGGATGAGTATTCCCTTTACTCCACATCCTGGCCAATGTGATCTTAGCCACTCTGATGGGTGTAAAATAGAATCTCAAAGTTGTTTTGATTTACATTTCTCTGATGGCTAAGGATATTGAACATTGCTTTAAGTGCTCCTCAGTCATTTGAGTTTCCTCTGTTGAGAATCTGTTTAGATCTGTACCCTATTTTTAAATTGTATTCTTTGTTATTCTGATATGTCGTTTGTTGAGTTCTTTATATATTTTGGATATTAATCCTCTATTGAATGTGGAGTTGGTAAAAAAAAAATATCTTCCCATTCTGTAGGTTTCTGCTTTGTCCAATTAACGGTGTCCTTTCCCTTAGAGAAGCTTATCAGTTTTGTGAGGTCCTATTTGTTAACTGTTGAGCTTAGTGCCAGCACTATCAGTGTTCTGCTCAGGAAGTCATCTTCTGTGCCAGTGATCTCAAGGCAATTCCCCACTTTCTCTTCTATCTGATTCAGTGTGTCTGGTTTATGTTGAGGTCCTTAATCCACTTGGACTTGAGTTTTGTGCAGGGTGATAGATATGGATCTATTTGCATTCTTCGATATGCAAACATCCACTTTGCCCAAAACCATTTGTTAAAGATGCTGTCTTTTTTTCAATGTGTATATTTCTGGCTTCCTTATCAAAATCAGGTGTTCATAGGAGTGTGGATTTATGTCTGGCCTTCGATTCCACTGATCAATGTGTCTGTTTTTAATTCCAATATCTTGCTGTTTTATTACTGTAGCTCTGTAGCATAACTTGAAATAGGGAATTATGTGACCTCCAGCAGTTCTTTTATTGTTCAAGATTGTTTTAGATATCCTGGGTTTTTGTTTTTATATATGGTGTTTAGAATTGCACTGTCAAAGTCTATAAAGAATTGTGTTGGAATTTTGATGGGGATTGCATTGACTCTGTAGATTGCTTTTGGTAGGATGTCAGTTTTACTATGTTAATCTATGAGCATGGGAGATCTTTTCATATTCTGGTATCTTCATCAATTTCTTTCTTCAAAGACTTGAAGTTTTTTTATCATACATGTCCTTTACTTGCTTGGTTAGAGTTACCTCAAGGTATTTTGTATTATTTGAGGATATTGTGATTCTTTCTCAGTACATTTGTCATTTGTATACAGGAGGACTACTGATTTTTTAATGTTATTTAGTTTTTAGTTAATCTTGTATCCAACTATTTTGCTGAGAATGCTTATCAGCTGTAGGAATTTTTAGGGTCACTTATGTATACTATCATATCACCTGCAAATAAAGATACTTTGACTTCTCCCTTTCCAATTTGTTCACCTTGGTCTCCTTTAGTTGTCATTGCTCTAGCTGAATAGATACGGAGAACATGGACAATCTTGTCTTGTTTCGTTTCTGATTTTATTGTTTTGATTTTCTCTTCATTTAATTTGATGTTGTCTATACGCTTGCTGTAAATTGCCATTATTATGTTGAGGTATGGTCCTCATATCCCTACTCTCTCCAGAACTTCTATCAAGAAGGGACGTTGGAGTTTGTAAAATAAAATTCTGTATCTAATGTGGGTTTTTTTTTTTTACTTAATTTATACGGTGAACCAAATTTGTTGATTTACAAATGTTGAACCATCTCTGCACCTCTGGGATGAAGCCTACTTGATCATGGTGGATTTTTTTAATGTGTTCTTGGATTTGGTTTGCAAGTATTTTATTGAGTATTTTTGTATCTGTGTTCATAAGGGAAATTGTTCTGTAAATTCTCTTTGTTGGGTTACATGGTTTAGGTAAAAGGGTAACTGTGGCCTCATAAGATGAACAAGGCAAGGTTCCTTCTGTTTCTATTTTGTGGAATAAACTGAGGAATATTGGCATTAACTCTTCTTTGAAAGTCTGATAGAATTCTGCACTAAAACCTGCACTAAAAAAAGTCCGGGCTTAGCCAGACTGTAGTGGTGCACACCTTTAATTCCAGCACTCAGGGAGGCAGAGGCAGGTGGATCTCTGAATTCAAGGCCAGCCTGGTCTACAGAGTGAGTTCCAGGACAGCCAGGGCTACAGAGAGAAACCCTGTCTCAAAACCAAACCAAACAAAAAACAGCTGTACTTCTGATTAGAAAAAATGGCCACCACAAGCCGCAGCCAGGATCTCAGTGAGAAGGAAAAGCTACAACAGATGCTTTGTTTATGTGCACACCATCCAATCTGTCACAAAGAAAATGTAAAAAGAGGGGGAAAAAAAAGATCTCAAACTTGAATGTCTACAGTTCCTCTTGTCTGGGACATCTTCTAGCTCAGTTAAGAGGTCCTGGTACACACCCCTAGTCATGCACACTGTATTCTGATTTCCATTAGAACCCCCTAGGACAGTGTCACCTGTGTACCCAGACAAGGACATTAGTACCAGCCGATATTTCCTCCCGCAGGAATGACACCATTCCATTAACTCCTTCCCAGCTACATTCATAGAACTTTGGAGATTTGCTTTGGAAACTCTTAAGAGCAGTCTCTTAGAGCAACTTTCAAATCTCTGTTAATCCTACAACCCTGAATTCATCATCCTGAATAAATATTTACACATATATTCATATAAGTAATGTATAATGATTCATATATATTCATATAATATATTGTACATACGTATACAATTAGAGTAGTGTACGGGCTGAGGCCCGGCTGGCCCAGTAATGGCTGTCCAACAGAAGGTCCAAGGATCTAGCAGTCTCACAATCTGTTAGGGTGGATGTCTCAGCTTGTCTTCAGTATTTGCTGGGATCCTGAAGAAGTAGGTGTGACGTTTTCACTTGATGGCAAGTGAGACTGAAGCTGCCATCAAGAGCAAGGGCAAGCAGGCAAAGAACAGAAGCTTCCTCCTTCCATGTCCTTTGTAGAGGCTGCCACCAGAAGGTGTGGCCCAGATTAAACGTGGATCTTCCCACATCGAAAGATCCAGATTAAAGACTGGAAGGTTTAATTAAGGCAAATCCCTCACTGGTGTGCTAGTGTGGGTGGTCCTTCTGTCTGTGTTCTTCTTGTCCTCCTCCTCTTTGGTTGGTGTCAATGTTTCCCTTTTGGTAGCTTGCAGAGTACCTTCCCGAACCAAACAGACTCAAACATAGGGATGAAGGTTCCATGTAGGTACCAGCTTGACTTTTTCCATGTTCATGAGTTATGTGGTTATTGTCCTCAGCAATGGGGCCCCTGCTGTCAGTTTTCAGAGAGCAACCCTTTGTCTTAACAACAACGCCTAGCTTGTTTAGGAACTTCCATGGGATCCCCTTGACCAAAAAGTCAATTGAATGCATCCCAGCCCTGCCACTGGGAACCTGGCAACAAGAGATGGCCAGTTGAGACTCCATATCCCACAGTGCTAGGAGTCCTCACTAGGATCACCTTCATACATTCCAGGAAGTTTCCACTGTGCTGGGTTTCCACACTACTCCCCAAATGCCCCCCATTCCCAGCCTATCTCTCCATCCTATCTCCCCATCACCTGATCCTACTCCCCCNAAAAAAAAAAAAAAAAAAAAAGAAGAAGAAAATTATTCATTTCTTTTAGATTTTTTCAGTTTTGTGAAATACCGGTTTTTAAAGTATGTCTATGATTCTCTGGATTTCGTTGGTATCTTGTTATACTCCCTTTTCATTTCTGATTTTGTCACTGTGAATATTCTCTATTTTTTAGTTTGGATAAGGGTTTGTCTATCTTGTTTTCTCAAAGAACCAACTTTTGTTTCATTGATTGTTCTTTGCTTCTATTTTATTGATTGAGTGTGATTATTTCTGGCCATCTACACTCTTGGGTAAGTTGCTAGTAGAAGATCTCTACAATTTTTCAATGTAGGCATTTAGTGCTATCAACCTTCCTCTCGGCACCACTGTCGTTGAGTCCCTAAGTTTGGGTATGCTGCGTATTTGTTTTCACTGAACTCTAGCAAGTCTTTAATTCCTTTATTTCTGTCTTGATCCATCTTTCATAAAGAAGAGGTTTGTTCTGTTTCCATGAATTGAAATGTCGTCTTGATGGATTTTTTTTTCTTTGATGCATAAATTAGTGTCATTTTCTATCTCTTTTGATTAATTTTGATTCAGCAGGCAGGGAACTCTCTCATTATTTTGTTTTCCCTCCTCAACTTCCTTGTCCTCTAACAAAATACAAAGACATCTTTAACCCACACACTTACCCCCAAACCAGAGTGTAAGTCATCAAAAACTGAGGAAAGGCTCCTAGCCAAAAAAGAGACACATCTAACTATAGTGATCTTGTTCTGACTGCCCTGAACTGTGAGTGCTGATGTTCTGCTATAAATGCAGCTGCGCACCTCAGGTCCCGTTCTGCTATAAATGCAACTGCACGCCTTCAGGTCCTGTCTTGGTGTCAACAGCTAATAGCATCTCCATTCTGTCCTTCTGAGACACTGAAGCTCAACACCATTCTCACCAATCTCCATTTATTCAGCTTTAAACATGGACAGAGCATGTGTATGGGCAGTGTTAGAACTTAAAGCGAGGTCTACCTTTCCCAGAGAAGTTGTTTTGGGCATGATTACATTGATCAGATTGATTCCAAGTATAGGGAGAACTGAACAGAACAGGAAGAGTTTCACACATAAAAAATGGGCTTTACAAACTAAAACAAGGCAACATAAAATCCCAATCCCTAAATAACAATGAATTATCAAAAATGTGCCTTGGTATAGAAGCACTAATAAAATAATCCTATTTTTCTGAGGGAAATTATTATAAGGTCCCGAGTATGAAAGACAGTAAACAAAGAGGTGAGGGTCATCAAAAACAGCTCAGTAGTAAGGATTTCCAACATCTGTCCTTCTGTGTTATTATGTGCTGCCCAACTTAATGCCAAAAAGGAACCAAAATCAGATTTCTTCCAACCCAAGACTAAGACATGCCATGTTGGTTTTTAGGGACACTGCACTTCCTGAATTAAAATAAGAAAATCAAAGTGTAGATGACAGGCCACTTTTCCTTCCCACTGTAGTTTTCCTTGTTTGCTCTCTGAAGATCAAGGCAAGTATAGTCTCAGACTCCTGAGTTTTTTTATTCTTACCTTGCTAATGTGGCCAAGAGTAGGTACTCTTGCACAATTAAGACAAAAAAACTTTATATAGGGCTCTGGCTCCTCTGTATTTGCTGCAAAGTCCACTACTGGTGGGACAGAGATTGGAGGAGGAGGTAGAGACATCCATTACAAGACAACGTGACAGCAGAACCCTAGCTAGACTTTAAGGAACTGATTCTACTCAGGCAGGAGCAAACTGACATAATTAAGTTTTACACTCAAAAAAGTATCACTGTGAATTCAGGAACAAGAGGCATTTGGTTGTAGATACAATTCCATCTGTAGGTCCTAACCTTAAATTTAGAGAAACACACTCATTGCATTAATATTATAGGTTGGGGTTTCTTACATGATTCCTAAATCCATCTACTACTTTGTTTGCTTGTTTAGTTTTGAAACAATTTACAACTATGATAAGAAGATTAATACAGGCAGCCCTGGTTCAGGTGTAGTCTTTAGTTTCAGAAAGTCCATCGGTCATGTAGCTGGTTGTCATTGCTAAATCTGTTGCTTGCAGAGGCCTCAGAGCTCTGGGTTTGCCGAGTGGAGTCCTCACCATTTAAGCTCTTCCTACATACTGGGCATGTGTCATGCTGAAACAAAATGATATCAGTCCATGTAAACAGCATGACCTTAGAAGCTAGGAACACCAAGCTGGGGAGATGGCTCAGTCAGTAAAATGTTTACAAACAAATACAGAACCCATGTAATGGGTTTCATGCAATCCACATAAAAATGTGAGTGACAGATGTTTGTAATCCCATTGCTGGAGAGGCAGAAACACAGACCCCTGGGGTTTGTGGCCAGCCAGCCTAGCCTGATCTGTCAAGTTCCAGGTCAACCAACCAGAAACACCATCTCAAGAATCAAATTGAATACTTTTTAAGAAAACAACATCTAAGGTTGACCTCTGACCTCCCCATGCCCACAAAGACTATGCGCTCACATGCCACTTTACCACCCCCATTATGACATAAGGATACCTGCCTAGCATTCACGGGGTCCTAAGTTCAAGCCCTAGTACCATCAAAACAGGATATCTCTGGTATAGAATGTTAAGCAGAATGGACAGAATTCTAAGTCAAGAAGTTAATAAAAGCTAACACATAACAGCAAATAAAACGAACTACTAACAGTGACCTGAATCATGACAAAAAGGTATCTATCAATTATTTCCCCATGTAGTCTAGATGAGGCTAAGCAAACCTTTTTTTTTTTTTTAAAGCGATAGAGAGGGGGCTGGAGCGAAGCTCAGTGGTTAAAAGCATACACTACTCTTGCAGAGGGCTGAGCTCAGTTGCCAGGACTCATGTGCTACACTGCCTATAACCCAAGCTCCAGAGAATTCAACACCCTCTTCTTGCCTCCAAGGGCATCTGTACTCATGTGTACAAACCCACTCCCTCCACATACATATAAACATGATTAAAAATAACAATTACATCTTTAAGAGGACAGAGAATAAGTGTTTTAGGCTTTGTAGGTTATCCCAACTCCAGCACAACTCTTTAACCCTGCCCAGCTAGCACAGGAGCAGCCACAGTCTGTTAAATGTCTCAGAAACACTGTATTTACAAGACCTGCTGGCATGCCACCGTGGCCTGTTTGCCAGAATACACTACGCTCTGCTTAGAAGCACTGCAGAGGGATAATAATTGGAAAAAAAAAAACAACCTACATGACACTAGGAGCCAGGCAAGGAGGCTAAAATTTGATTTGCTTGCCTCTCTGAACTGCAACTTCATCTGTCCTCTGAAGCAGCCTCATCCCAGCCCAGAGCCAGCTGTACTCACCAGTTCCAACCACGGCACAATGCAGCTGCTATGAAAGAAGTGGTTGCAGGGTAACTGCCGGACTTTCTCGTCAACTATGTAGTCTTCTTTACATACTGGACATTCTAAACCCGTATCTGTGGGAAGAAGATGTGTGTGTTAAAGCAACAAGCAAAAGGAAGGAAACAACCAAGAGCCAGGCCTATGTTGCAGACCTGACCCCA